CAGAAACAAAAGCCGCCGCTCGCCAATTCAACATCATATAAGTTTCTGAATTGGAGTCTCACATCTAACATGTTTCTTGAAAAAAAAAACTGGTCCTGGAGTACTCAACCAAAAAGGCATTGAGGTACCATTAGTCGATATTCTAGAGACTAGGATGAGGGCGGCTTCTTATGAGCGTAATTTGATATTTATAGCGTGACAGCGTACCTGAATGCAGAATTCTGATTGGCCAAAGTCCATATTGGATACGCTGACACTCTGCCGCAGATATGCCAAAAGTTAAGCAATGTTCAACTTTTCGCGTAAAAATTCAGCGTTTTTAGAGGTTAAGGTTGCAAAATTTTCATTTTCTTGACTTTTTTTAATTTACTGTCCATATTTGTAACTATTTGGAAATAAAGCAAAAACAAATACAAATTTGTGCAATCAAAATTCAAAGAAATATTTCAAAAAAAGAAAAAAAAAATATAACTTTGACATACGTGGCGGCGTAAATTCTCCATTCCATGTGAATGTTGCACCAAAATTCACGTATTCAGCATTTGCGCCAGTTATGTCAAGTTTACGCTCATGAGAAGCCGGCCTGAAGGTTGAACATGCAAAAGCCGTTCTCTAAAGGGCCCTACACACTACGTTCTGCTCCGTCGCGACTAACAACGTCGTGTTTCATCATCAACCTTGTTTTCACCACACACTACGCGATTTTCTGGTAGTTGGATCGACATATAACGGTTCTGGAATAAAATGTTGAACCGTCGTGCCAAACATGGGCGCCCACAGGGAGGGTCAGGGGGGGTCACTCGACCTCCCCTGGAAATTTCTTAAATTTTAATTCTTTTCTATATATATTATATTGTAGGTCCGATGATGCTCGTATGAGCGAAACGGGCATACTTGAATTCGGCCACAAACCAGGTAGCTGCAGTAATCCTACCTTTGAATTCGACCAAATCATGAAACCCAACCTACTTCCCATAAAACTTACCTTATGATGTTGACAGATTTCGCATTGGATATGAGTTAATAAATCTAAAAAAGTGTAAATATGTATTTTGATGCGCAAAATAAAAAGATCTACCAAAATGACTATGGAAAGATTCACAGGCATTTGTTTTCTTATCCAGGTCTATCGAGGCATGTGCCATGTGTCGATGAGATAATCTGAAAATTTAATTAGAACTTCGTGATTCGGCTGAATAGCTAACAACTCGGAAACAAAGAAATCGCTAACTTCTTGATTCTCCAAAAACATCATTCCGAAACAATTATGTAACGATTTACCGATTTCTGAATCTTTTTTTTTAAATTCAATGCTTAAGCCTAAGTTTTGGATCTTCCTCTACCATGCCTGAGATTTTAGCTATTTATAAGAAGTAAATAAGTTGATTTAATATCTATATCTCAGTGTACCGATTTGTATATTGATAAATTGTCACCCTTTCCTTATTCCGGAACTGGTGAATTTTGTGGCTGAGTTCAACGATCCCGGAGCTAAACACATGTCACTATTAAGTGAATCAAATAATAAACAATCTGTGTGTTAACATGTGGCTTTTATGTTTTTGCTTAAATTTTGCATTGCAAGTGTCACATTCAAATGGGTAAATATCCGAATGTGTTAGTTTGTGAATCTTTAAATCGGCTTTCCATTTAAATTTTGATTTGCAAGTGTCACATTCAAAAGGAAAAATATCCGAGTGTGTTGAAATGTGCCTTTGTAAATTACTTTTCTTCAAATTTTGCCTTGCAAGTGTCACATTCAAATGAATAAATACCCGAATGTGTTAGTTTGTGTATCTTCAAATCGCGTTTCCGTTTAAATTTTGATTTGCAAATGTCCCATTCAAAAAAATTAAATATCCAAGTGTATCAATATGTGTTCCTTCAAATCGCCTTCCCTTTTCAATTTTGCATTGCAAATGTTACATTTGAAATTCTCCTCATCCGAGTGTGTTAATATGTGGCTTCTCAAACTACGTTTGTCTTCAAATTTTGCATTGCATGTGTCACATTTAAAAGGATAAATATCAGACTGTGTTAGTTTGTGTCTCTTTAAACAGTCTTTTCCTTTGAATTTTGCTTTGCAAATGTCACATTCAAAAAGATAACTATCGAAGTCTGTTGATATGTGACTTTTCAAATTACCTTTTTGGTCAAATTTTCCTAATTTAAATTTTTCTTTAAATTTTGCATTGCATATGTTGCATTTAAAATTCTTCTCGTCCAAGTGTGTTAGTTTGTGTCTCTTCAAACTGCCTTTTTTAAAGTTTTGCTTTGCAAATTTTGCATTTAAAATTCTGATTCTGCTTCTAAAATGATAATTTAGACTGAAGTGCCCTTTTTTACGCATAAAAAATTTATTCAATTGATTTTGACCCACCCTACATATTTTTCTGCGGGCGCCCCTGGTGCCAAAGCTCTGACTGAATTTTAAATCGACGGTGTAACACGACGGTTTTCTACCACACACTCGCGGCGATAAACACCGACGAGAAAGAACGTAGTGTGTAAGGCCCTTAACAAACTTCTAGCCCCAAGTTGATAATTATAGGTACACATTCAGAGAGTTTGTTATCTAGGGACATTTTTCAGGAATAAATTATTAATCGTTCACAGCAATTGGCCAAGGTCTATTTGCTCTGAAAATTCATATGCTCAGCCGAACAGCGAACTGAACATAGAAATGAGACATTCCAATTAGGTAATGCTCATTGAAAAAATATAATATAAAAGGTAATATTTAAACGTAAAGAAATTTGTGGTCACTACTCCCAAGTCAAGGTGTCATCAAGGACGATAGGCACTATGCATCAGTGACCATAAAAGTGACCTCAGAAGTAGAGGCACATGAAGTTTAGGAAAGCATGCCTCTTTAGTGAATGGGACTAATACTATCTTCCGAATGGTGCTATGGCTTTGATAAGAGTTCCTCAGTTTTTATAGAATCTTGCTCGGAATCTTGGCTTTATCTACGCGGATATAACTCTTTTGATGTCTCCTAGTAAATTAGGAAAATGTTTCTTTCAATGAATCTTGTAAAACCAGAATGACACATTGCGTTGTGTAGGTAGTTTATACAAATTTTGTCAGTGTGTCAGCTACAATGTTTTGATTTCCTGGCCTGTATATCATATCGAAGTAGCTTGATAATTCTATTTTCCAACGCATTATTTTCTCATTCATAATTTTTGATGAACCCCTGTCAAACGTAAATACAGTATCCTCAAACAGGAGAATTTAAAGAAGAAGTAGTCCTTGTGACATTTAGATTCCTAGGAAACACTTGCGTATATGTTTTTATGTGGTGATAGTTTTTGAGATATAACTGTCCGAGCTTCCAGTATCAATTAATGCATTAGTTGGAATATGGTTGACTTCAATTTTAATAATAGCTTTTGCTAAGCAAGATATTGAGGCTGTTGACATCATTCCAATCATGGTAACTGAGGTTTGATTTAATAAGCTAAAATTTAGTACAGATATTTCTGACAATAACTTACAATCAGGCCTATCTATGATGTATTCATTTTCTGTTATTTTAACAGCAACATTAAGTTTTATGTCACTGTTTATTCGACACGTAAAAATAGAGACAGGCATAGATTTTCAGCTATAACACAACTGTTAAAATAACAGGAGAGGATACATCATAGGCCTGAATATGAGATACATAACAGGTGAATGGATAGGAATAGGAATAAGTAGTGAAATCTACAACAACAACAATTTTAGATACCATTTAAAAAAACCTAGAAATCATTATGGAACGGGTCCAGAGATACCTATTTATGCAAGATACAATTAGGAGTGTATAGCAATTTTCAGCTACTTACGGACTACAATCTTCTTATATTCTTGAACGATAAAGCATATTTACTACTAATCATTCTAGACACTAAAAAGGACCTTAATCGATTACATAAAGCTAATAGATACTCAAATAGGCATACACGCATAATAACAAATCGCCGTTTATTTTGTTACACAACAAACTTTCACAACTGTTGCATTCGAATATGGCAAACTGCATGCAACTTTGACGGATTCCGAGTGCCAAGAAGTCAAGGTTGACGACCTGAATATATTATTTCGCTTTCGGCTAAAAATAAATTACAATACAATGACTAAGCGGTGGTTTTGTTTTTACATCTGCTGTCCCTGTTTTATCCCTGTTTAATCCCGAATCATTGCCTTGACATAAATATTTTGTGGGTTATAATGTGTGTGCAAACTAGAAAATTTTTACATAGAGAAAATTACAAACTTCCATAATCATCTACATACTTTTGAAACTTATTGCTATATTGTGTTGGGTTTTACTTTTACATATTTTTATTTTATCATTTTATCAAAAATCATTCAATCAACATTTTTGGGGTGGCTCATTATTTGACTTGATCCTCATCCTGTGAAATGTTATTTGCATGTTATTTTATTTCATCTATTTTTTTAAAATTATTATTGCACGATTTTTATAATACATATTTATTTTTGCTTTGCATGGTTTTATCATCGTTTTATTTTTTGCTTCAACAACAGGTCACGCAGGGCATCTCAAGACATTACGAAACTGCCTAAGGATTTGCCATATACGAGGTAAGAATTTCATCGGGGGCATTTAAGTTTTTAAGTTTTTGCATGATGATTTTTTTTGGGGCTTTTCATTCATTAATTTATTATTTTTTCTAAATTGAAATTTTACAATTTTGGACCATTGTTGTCCAAAGGAACAAGCACATCTTGCAGCCAGTAGTGTGTGTAGTTTTGATTCCAAATTTATTTTAAATACAACTACATCATTATTTAGAAAATTATTCCAAATTTAATTTTCAATTTCATACATGAAACGCCATCTCTGAATACTCATTACTGAATCACGCATTTCTCCGTTATCGGTTTTGCAGATTTAATGTGTGTTTAATAGATGGCGCTTGATGTATTGTTATAAATAATATATTGTTTAATAATAATTATTATATTGTTTATTTATTTTTTTTTAGGAGTAAGAGTCGAAGCGTTGATCATGGAATATCTTCGCCCTACGATTTGGCCCTTTTGAGAAGCACTGTGGACAAGTCTCTTAATAGAGGTAAGTTGTAATACCTACTTTACATGGTAGTACCTAGTAACCAAGGGGCAAACCACCTAGGGATTCTTTGTCAAAAATGTGGGGAATTTAGAGGAATTTGTGAGGAATTTATGAGGAATTTAAAGGAAATTGTCAAATTTGAAAAATTCAAAGGAATAATGAATGCAGTTTTTGTAGGTTGATTTCCAAGATTTTTCATGTTACTGTTTTTCACTGGAAAATTTTGAAATTTTGGGAAAATGAGCTCATCACCCTCCTCTTCACATGCAAAAATTTCCAAAATGTTCCCTCCACTAGTTTTTCAGGAAAACTTTAAAATGTGTGAGACTGTATTTTCAATTAATTCAGTTATTGTAGGTTGATTTCCAAGATTTTCCATTTTGCCGTTTTTTACCGGAAAATTTTGAAGTTTTGGGAAAATGAGCTTCTCACCTTCCTCTTAACATGCAAAAAGTTCCAAAATTTTGATTCCACTAGTTTTCCAGGAAAATTTTGAAATGTGTGAGACTGTATTTTCAATTAATTCAGTTATTGTAGGTTGATTTCCAAGATTTTTCATGTCGTCGTTTTTTATTGGAAAATTCCAAAGTTTTGGGAAAATGAACTTCTCACCTTCCTCTTAACAAGCAAAGAATTTCGAAATTTTTCCTCCACTAGTTATCCAGGAAAACTTTGAAATGTGTGAGACTGTATTTTCAACCAATTCAGTTTTTGTAGGTTGACTTCCAAGATTTTTCATGTTACTGTTTTCTTCTGGAAAAATTTGAAATTTTGGGAAAATCAGCCTTCCACCTTCCTCTCTACATGCAAAAAGTTTCAAAATTTCTCCTCTACTAGTTTTCCAGGAAAACTCTGGAACATGTGAGACTGTTTTTTCGATTAATTCAGTTATTGTAGGTTGATTTCCAATATTCCTCATGTTGTTATTTTCCACTAGAAAAATTTGAAATTTTGGGAAAATGAGCTTCTCACCTTCCTCTTTACATTCAAAAAGTTTCAAAATTTTCCCTTCATTAGTTTTCTAGGAAAACTCTGAAATATGTGAGACAGTATTTTCAATTAATTCAGTTATTGTAGGTTGATTTCCAATATTCCTCATGTTGTTATTTTCCACTAGAAAAATTTGAAAATTTGGGAAAATGAGCTTCTCACCTTCCTCTTTACACGCAAAAAGTTTCAATATGTTCCCTTCACTATTTTTCCAGGAAAACTTTGAAATGTGTGAGACTGTATTTTCAATTAGTTCAGTTATTGTAGATTAATTTCCAGGATTTTTCATGTCGCCGTTTTTCACTGGAAAATTCTGAAGTTTTGGGAAAATGAGCTTCTCACCTTCCTCTTAACATGCAAAAAGTTTCGAAATTTTCCCTTCACTAGTTTTCCAGGAAAACTTTGAAATGTGTGAGACTGTATTTTTAACTAATTCAGTTTTTGTAGGTTGACTTCCAAGATTTTTCATGTCGCTGTTTTCCACTGGAAAATTTTGAAATTTTGGGAAAATAAGCTTCTCAGCTTCCTCTTAACATGCAAAAAGTTTCAAAATTTTCCCTTTTCTAGTTTTCCTGGTAAACTTTGAAATGTGTGAGACTGTATTTTCAACTAATTCAGTTTGTGTAGGTTGATTTCCAAGATTTTTCATGTCGCCGGTTTTCACTGGAAAAATTTGAAATTTTGGGAAAATTAGCCTTTTACCTTCCTCTATTCATGCAAAAAGTTTCAAAATTTTCCCTTCGCTAGTTTTCCAGGAAAACTGTGAAATATGTGAGACTGTATTTTCAATTAATTCAGTTATTGTAGGTTGATTTCCAATATTCCTCATGTTGTTATTTTCCACTAGAAAATTTTGAAATTTTGGGAAAATGAGCTTCTCACCTTCCTCTTTACATACAAAAAGTTTCAAAATGTTCCCTTCACTAGTTTTCTAGGAAAACTTTGAATTGTGTGAGCCTGCATTTTCAATTAATTCAGTTATTGTAGGTTGATTTCCAAGATTTTTCATGTTGCTGTTTTCCACTAGAAAATTTTGAAATTTTGGGAAAATGAGCTTCTCAGCTTCCTCTTAACATGCAAAAAGTTTCAAAATTTTCCCTTCACTAGTTTTCCAGGAAAACTTTGAAATGTGTGAGACTGTATTTTCAATTAATTCAGTTTTTCTAGGTTGACTTCCAAGATTTTTCATGTTGCTGTTTTCCACTGGAAAATTTTGAAATTTTGGGAAAATAAGCTTCTCAGCTTCCTCTTAACAAGCAAAAAGTTTCAAAATTTTCCCTTTTCTAGTTTTCCTGGTAAACTTTGAAATGTGTGAGACTGTATTTTCAACTAATTGAGTTTGTGTAGGTTGATTTCCAAGATTTTTCATCTTGCTGTTTTCTACTGGAAAAATTTGAAATTTCGAGAAAATGAGCGTCGCACCTTCCTTTTTACATGCAAAAAGTTTCAAAATGTTCCCTTCACTAGTTTTCCAGGAAAACTTTGAAATGTGTGAGACTGTATTTTCAACTAATTCAGTTTTTGTAGGTTCCAAGATTTTTCATGTTGCTGTTTTCTATTGGAAAAATTTGAAATTTTGAGGGAATGAGTGTCTCACTTTCCTTTTTGCATGCAAAAAGTTTCAAAATGTTCCCTTCACTAGTTTTCCAGGAAAACTTTGAAATGTGTGAGACTGTATTTTCAAATAATTCAGTTTTTGTCGGTTGACTTCCAAGATTTTTCATCTTGCTGTTTTCCACTGGAAAATTTTGAAATTTTGGGAAAATAGACTTCTCACCTTCCTCTTTACATGCAAAATGTTTCAAAATGTTCCCTTCACTCGTTTTCTAGGAAAACTTTGAAATATGTGAGACTGTATTTTCAATTGATTCAGTTATTGTAGGTTGATTTCCAAGATTTTTCATGTTGCTGTTTTCCACTGGAAAATTTTGAAATTTTGGAAAAATGAGCTTCTCATCTTCCTCTTTACATGCAAAAAGTTTCAAAATGTTCCCTTCACTAGTTTTCCAAGAAAACTTTGAAATGTAGGAGACTGTATTTTCAACTAATTCAGTTTGTGTAGCTTGATTTCCTAGATTTTTCATGTTGCTGTTTTTCACTGGAAAACTTTTAAATTTTGGGAAAATGATCTTCTCACCTTCCTCTTTACATGCAGAAAGTTTCAGAATTTTACCTTTTTTTAGAGGAATTTGTGGGGTATTTGGAGACGTTCGTGGTGGGATATTTGGAGGAATTTGTGATGGGGTATCTGGAGAAATTTGGAGGAATTTGCAGGAATTTTGAGGAATTATGCGAAAAAAATTCCCCCTTGAGGAATTGTTTGCATCAATTCTGGGATGGTGGTTTACCCCTTGCTAGTACCCTTGAAAAATGTGTATACTGAGATTAGGGCAAAGGGAGAATCTTTAAAAATGAAAAGGAATTTTCCCCTTTTATTTTATTAGATATGTGATTCAACAGAATAAAACCTAGTCTACATGAACGCGACGTCAGTGTGCAATTTTTTATAAAATCTGTTTTTTTTTAAAGATAATTCCCCAAGTCAAAAATTTAGTAACTATGTTGGCAACACAAGCCTTTTCCACGTAAAAAAATTGGAAGCATTGACAATTTCCCATTGTATTGCCAACATAATGTCATTTTGACTTTTATCTTTAAAAAAAAAAACAGACTTTATATTATGCAAAAAATCAAAAAGATTATATAGAGATCATTAATCAACCTGCCAAACCTCCATAATCTAATAATAATTATTACCTTATCTATACAATTTTTTCCTAGAATTTTGTTCCCCTAATAATTTATCACCTGGTAGAAAATTACACAGTCAGTTTGATTAATAAATTACAGCAGCTCTGTTCGTCCTTTAAATGCACCAAACGATAATTATTGCATCTCAAGCAACACAAAATCCTAGATGATTATTCAATTTTAATATAAACTACGTCATGTTTTATTTGCAAGGTTTCAGTAAAATCAGATTAATTATCGTTGGTGTTGGTACTTTAGTCAGTCAGTGTCGGTACGTCGCGTCAAGTTGAATTTTTGGTACTGAGGATGCCGGTACCATCAAGAAAACTTTCGATAACATGGAGTTTATCGAGGATTACTTTGAAGGACAACGTCCGTCGTCGTGTGCTTTTATAGATAGAAGCGGAGAGGTTGACCAGTTTGTTGTCGTTTATTATAACAATAATGCGTTCTTTTTTGAAGGTTGATCTATTTGTTTATTTATAAGTGTTTGTATTTAAATAATTTTTTTTTTGTAGATCTTGATGGTTCCACAAACAGTCTGTCGGCCAGGCGGAGCGGACCGCCTGAGAATACTACTACTTATGTGGTGAGTAATATAAAAGTTTTCATAATAAATTACAGAGCTTTTTTGACAAATTTACTAGACAGAACTTTTAAAATGACAAACAGGTGAAGGTGAATCATACAAATAATAATCTACAGAGGAAAAATATCAAAAATCACCTAAAAGCGATCTAAATCTAAATGATATGGGTTGAATGTGTTGTGTCTTTGTAATGAAACCCTCTTGGGTTCATTAAATTAACTTTTTAATATGAATACAAGTTAAACTAAGTCATATAGACAACACAGTTGTCATCTTTCCAACCTGTTATGGTGAAGTTACGTCTCACCTAACTTAGTTTAATATCTAACATTTCTTTCCCCTTAAAGAAAATAAGAATATTATTACCAAATCAAAATTCTATTTTAAATATTTAACTGGCTTATTAATCACCCTTCGCAATGATACAATAATTTCACTATTGTCTTTATTAGGCGAAATACATTTTTTTTTAGCTAGTATCTTCGTCATAGTTCGGGTTTTGCATTGTCACAATCGGGGGGTTTGACATAATATTTGCAGTTTCTGACACACTGAAGCTTAAAATTAAATTTGACTGTGTAGGTGGAACATTTACTGGTTGGTATAAAACTGTAGTATGGGTTTCTGCAGAAGTTTCAACTTCATTAATAATATGACATTTTTTTAAATGGTCCACATGCACATATTATCTAATATCTAGCATGTTCTCCTACCATAACAATATATGTTAGCAAACTAACTTTAACTTCAACAATACCATAACTCCCACTTTCCCTGTTCACCCCTAACGTTTTTCACATAAACTTTATCACCTCATTCAAAAGTGATATATCAAGACATGCTGGTGTCGTCATTTTTTCTTTCCAAAAATGTTGTCTGCCTGTCTTGAACATACTTATCAAAATTAGGGTTCAACATCGAAATTCTAGTTTTTGGTTTTTGTTTTAACATTAGCTCAGCAGGTGAAATTTGAGTAAGATTATATGAGAAATGTTGTCAATAATAAAACAAAAAATTATCTAATTTTTCTTGATTTGATTTTTTCGACGAATTAACATCATATCTGTTTTATGAGATTATTCTTAAAAATTTGAATGCTCCTCTCAGCGATACCGTTAGATTTTGGATATATTGGTAGTGACTTTATAACTCTTATACCCTATGCTTTACAAAATGAATCAAAATTCCACTGGATTAAATGGCGGACTAACCCAAGAATGTAGACCGGCACGTTGGCTCTTGATGAAGAACGTAAGACGGCCTACTCAAGCCAACCTTATGATTTAGATTTTGGAAAACTTTGAAAGGGCATAACTTTTTATCTATTATAGATAGAAAACTGAAACTGTCACTGAATTTTATCCCAATCAAAGGACTACAATCCCCAATTTCAGCTCATTTGCACCTATAGTTCCTGAGATAAAATCGTGTTAAGCAATTTGTGGTGATTTATCAATTTTTCAATTTTTCTGAGTACCTTTTTTCATAAATTTCGGCTTCAAATCTGAGAATAATTTAGTGTATGGAGTTTGGGGGATGTTGATTGACCATTAGGATACAAAATCTCGAAAAAAAAAATATTGAAATTTCATGGTTTTAGTAAGAAGGTAGTAGGTACCTTATGATTTAGATTTTGGAAAACTTTGAAAGGTCATAACTTTTTTTCTATTATAGATAGAAAGCTGAAGCTTTCACTGAATTTTATCCCAACCAAGGGACTACAATCGCTGAAAATTTCAGCTCATTTGCACTTATAGTTCCTGAGATAAAATCGTGTTAAGCAATTTGGGGTGGTTTATCAATTTTTCAGTTTTTCTGAGTGCCTTTTTTCATAGATTTCGGCTTCAAATCTGAGAATAATTCAGTGTATGGAGTTTGGCGTATGTTTATTGACCATAAGGATACAAAATCTCGACAAAAAAAACAAAAGAAATTTCATCGTTTTAGTAGGAAGTTACCTACCTTATAATTTGGATTTTGGAAAACTTTGAAAGGTCATAACTTTTTTTCTATCATAGATAGAAAGCTGAAACTTTCACTGAATTTTATCCCAATCAAGGGACTAGAATCCCTGAGAATTTCAGCTCATTTGCACTTATAGTTCCTGAGATAAAATCGTGTTAAGCAATTTGGGGTGATTTATCAATTTTTCAATTTTTCTGAGTGCCTTTTTTCATAGATTTCGGCTTCAAATCTGAGAATAATTTAGTGTATGAAGTTTGGGGGATGTTGATTGACCATTAGGATACCGCAACATTTTCATTGCAAACCATTTTTTATGCGGCGCCATCTCTGATATCTAGAACGAAACTCGCGGTTGTGCGGTAATTTCATTGCAGATACAGGAGAACAATGCTGCTCAGGAACTGGAGCTATTCCGAACAGAACTATTCCACTATTCCGATCAGATACAGTGGTGCAGAAAGAGTAGACCAGATAGAGTAGTACAGATAGAGTAGAACAGATGGAGTAGTGCAGTGTAGATAGAGTGAAACAGGAGATTTTTTTTGTTTTCTTTACATTTTTTGAACATTCCTGTGCCTGAGTTTATTTATTTGGTGGTACACTTTACAAGAATAATGCCCACAAGTTGCCTAAAAAGGGATGATGTAAAATTTTAATTTTAGGTGACTTCTGATCCAGAGAGTAAACATTAATTTTCTTCAACCAAAGCCAAATTCACCTTTGAAAAAAACTTAATTTAATTCAGCTAATAGATACGTTAACACAACATTTAATAGTTATTTAATAATTCAGAGGCGGTACGAAGTTCGCCGGGTCAGCTAGTATAATATAAATGTGCCCATCCCAAGAAAATATAATTCTATATTTACTTTTTCTTTCCTGAAAATTATCGTTTTCCTAGAAACGTGTTGGATTTCGATAAAAGATAGCTTCAGCCATAAGTATACATACCATACATATTCTAAAGTAGTTTTCTGGGAAGTTCTCACTGCTATTGGCGCTTATCACGTTTTACCGGAAAACACTCGAGATATTATTTAACCACTGGCAGTAGTTTAATCTTTAAATTTTCAAATGACAAAAAAGCGATTAGGTAGTTACAAAATAGATCCGCACCAATCATATGACTGTCCTAAATAATCAATCAAGGAATAGTTTGTTAAAATAAACCTAAATGAAAGCTTTTCTCATCAACATGTTGCAACAGTTTATAAAACGAGATGATTATTAATTCGAATCATTGAAGAAAATTTCACCAAACTCCCCACAAATTCCTCCAAATTCCCTGCAAATTCCTTTAAAACTGCTCGCAAATTCCCTAAAAATGCCTGTTACAAATTCCATAAAAATCCCCAAAACTGTTCGGGATAAAAAAATTATTTTTCTATTTTTATCACACTTAGTGTTAAAATCAATGAATTCCCCCAATTTTTCATACATTTTTCAAATATCCCATAAATTCCTTCAAGTTCCCCACATATTCCTCCAAATTCCCCACATATTCCTCTAAATTCCCCACAGTTTTGGCAAATAATTCCTAGGTGGTTTGCCTCTTGGATAATATAAACCCAACTTAGTAGATTGTAGCAATTTTTGGAGGAGATTCTTCTGGTTTTCATGCAAACAATTTTACTGATTTCTTCTTTTTAGGTCGCCGATAGAGACACTTTAACATCGGTAGCAGCTAGATTCGATACGACCCCATCGGAGCTTACAAAACTCAACAGGCTAGCTACTCCGTACATTTTTCCTGGGCAGCAATTATACGTTCCTTTGAGGGAAAATGCGGAGCTCGATTCCGAGGGATCTACGCCCGTGGAGGACGCTCACGAGGACTTACCTTCAGACGAAAAAGGTAACTAGGATATAGGATAGCAGTAAAATAATTCAATTTTGAAGTCAAAAAATTTTATTAAACAAAGGTTGCCACTTTTGATATTTAGATACAGGAAAATAAAGCTTGTTAGGAGAATTTCCCTCATTTTACATCACATTCTTCAAATTCTGAAAACAACTTGTTACTTCATCATTTAGACTACATACTTACCTCCAGTAAAATGTCTCATAAATCTAAAACTTTTAAGTGCATTGAAACGAAACATCATTTTAGTACTTGAAAGGAAATATGAGAAGTTAATTTTGGAATAAGTTTTCTGTTTGTTTCCCTTTAATTATAAATGTATCAACAAAAACAAATTATTAACTGATTAAAAATACACAATCGCCCACTCAAAGGAAACAACTTATTGAAAAAAAAAAACATAAAAAATTAAGTGTGCAATTTAAATATAAAGATAATCCGAGATAATATTGCAATGATATCTCGACGTTTTTAAAACAGTCACGGTTTTATATGGGCGATACATAGTAATGTCTTTTCGAAGTTTATGTTATGTGGAAATATGTTGAGTATGTGGTGGAGTGAGTGTATAATTTTTTCATGTTTTGTCCTATATTATTAGTAACATTGGACCACACATAGAAAGATGTTTATAGATGAAGACAGGAAATATGAACGCCAAGACAGAGAGAGAATAATTTCTACAACTTTTCAGATAATTACACTTTTTAACTCATCGTGTATAAAATCTCTAAATTTTTCTTTTAGAAAAATTTCTAGTGGACCAAGAGCCAATAATAATCAAAATTTGGACTATAAGTGGCTCTTGATGATTGTTTTTAGAGAAATTGGATGTCCAGTTAATCAAGAACTGATAATAATCAAAATATTACCTACCAGTCTTTGATAGTTTCCAGAAAACTTTTCGATTCGGTTATAAGTCATTGATTTCATAATGAAATTGTTTCAGAATTATTGGACAATCTACGTCCAGTCAGCCCAAAGCCAGGCCACGTCGAAAGGGTGAGAACGCCGTCATGCAATCAAAGCTTATCCTTAGACCACGAAGACGAACCTCTGTCAGTATTCCGCGAACGGTTCCTTAAAATTAACGTGAGGCACATCACGGATGGCGAAGGCGTCGTCAGCGGCGTCCTGTTAGTTACCCCAAATGCTGTGATGTTCGATCCGAACGTTTCCGATCCGCTGGTGATCGAAAAAGGCCCGGAAGCTTACGGGGTGATAGCACCCATGGAATTTGTTGTCAATGTTGCCATTTATAACGATATAGCGCACATGCGTGTCAGTCACATGGAGAGTAATGTGAATGAAAAGGCGGAAATTTACTATCCGAAAAGTGACAAGGAGCAGGAGTCTATGTTGGTCAAAGACGAAACTTTTCCGGAATTGGGTGAGTGATTTTTATTTTGGAACTTTAAAGTGTTAATAGATTGCTTTGATTTGTATGTGTATTATTGGCAGTAACAAATTTGTCGTATGTGTTTATTACTCAAACAAATTACAAGTATATAAACTACTACTAAAACAAGTTTTAATACTGATAACGCCATCTACTAATCTATATACAAGTATACAAAATAGAAAACATTTCCCTTTACATTGCATGGATATTGTGTATTAGCCTAGAGGTCTTGTCCGTAGTTACCGGTACTGACGATGCTGAATCGGTCTGTTCATGTACAGAAAGAGAAGGCGACGCTTTTCCTAAAGCATTCGATAGAGATTTGGTGACGCCCACCAATCTGGACGATACTGGGCACGAACAAAGAACACTGGACGAGAGGCGAAAGTCACTATTGGACCATCATTGGCCCATGTCTTCAAGAGACAGACAGTAAGAACTGTTCATTTTGATTGCTCTTTGGTGTTTATTTAATTAAATGTCATTTAGGTCAATTGACACTGATGAACTACCAGCAATTTCAACAACGCTCCACGAAGATCACATCGAAGAAGAAGAAGTGCAGCACCCGGAAGAGGAAAGTGAGATTCAGGAAAGTTGTCACGATTCCGGGATTGATATTAGAGAAACGCCAGCGGCGCCAGTGGTTCCTATTGCTATAAAAGAAGTACTTAAATAATATTTGATGTAAAATTGACAATATATAAAATCTTGTTTGTAGCACTACAGCGATGCAGATATAGTATTATCCAAAGAGTGGGTGCCTCCGGTGACTATCGCGCCCACTTATCACCATTCTTTGAGCAGTGACAGCGAAAGCCCGGCCAGGAAGAAGACCAACAGCGTATCGTTCAGCTTGGACTCGGGCAGCGACGCTGAGAATTCCGGTGCGGCTGCCATTAACTTCTCTACGAGTTTAGTTGAATCCAAAGAAGAGTCTGAAAAGTCTGAAAGTAGGAAAAATAAGGTACATTACTTAAGCCAAAGTAGGTTTAGGATTTTAACAGTGGATATTATATGTAGAAAAAGGTAACTAGAGATATATGTCAGAACTTGACAAGTTATAGAGTGAGTTTCTTGGTTAATCCGCAGAAAACCGTTATTGTCCCATTCCCAAAGAAAGAGGTCAAATATCTTGAAATCATTTTTGTCCAAAAGATGACCTGGGGTCCACACCTCAAGTTGTTCAGAAGGCTAAAATTTCCAGATGCAGAGGGCTTTGTGGAAAAAGCTGGGGACTTAACCGAAAGATGAATCTATGTGATCTCAAAAACTCTTGAAGACACCTTTTAAAAAAACACTAATTTATTTTAAAATACAAGTTACAATTATTGTCTGGCTAGCGAAACGGCGAACTGCAAAAGAATTTGCTGCTTTGCCAAACTTGACAGAAACAATAATAAACAAGTTGGTGACATATTTTTTTTGCAATATGGGTATGTGTAGCATTTTGAAATAGAATAAAATCCGGCAGCATTGCGAAATGAAGGATGTGGAGAGGCGTGATTATTCAGAGGCATGATTCTATTGGTTAGAGCCTGAACAACAGTACCAGTGGCGTGGTTATTGGTGAAGCTCAAGAATTATAGTTATTCGAATCGAATTAATTTTAACATAACATGTTTGAAACCGCGAATAGAGGGGGTTGAAGTTTCTTGCATAACAGATCAGCGGTGGCTGGTGAGGTAGTGCTAGGGTACATCAAGCTATGTCATACTCATTACCCTATTTCCTCAATGCTTATTTCTCACAGAAATGTTTCAAAGTATCATATTATGAAGGTTATAAAACCTTTTTTTTTCAGAAAAATAAGGTTATACCGTAGCATTACCTCACCAGCTGTCGCTTCTACAGATACTGCAAACTATAGGTCCATCACTAGGGATCGTTGGTTTTCACATTCGCCCTTGCAGTTAGTACATGCGGGTGTACAAGTAAGACCTGCTTTCCGACACAAACATCTGTTGGTCTCACATCGACCTTTACACCCGCACTTTTCTAGTCCTCTGAGAGCTGACCAAGTAGTAGCTTATTCCATTCTGGCTTTCAGCGGTTGTTTATCAAAATCCAACCCCGTCCTCCAGGTGATGGAACAGGTTCACCAGGTGACAACGATTGACCCCATATTTGTTCGGCTTCATATGCAGCTCTTTTGCAGTGTTCCATAAGACTTTCTTGTGAGAATGGACACACTCCACTACAAAACTGTACCTTTCTCAACTCATTAATTTTTTCAACTTTGCTTTCTGCATTATAGAGTGTGATGGTAAATTTTCTAGAATTTTAAATAGGTATATATTCTGGTATATTGTTGGTATTGTCCATTGAAGATAAATAATGGGATGCCAGGGTTGCCTCCGGATAATCTCCCCATGATTTCCATGCTCTGTTTTTTCCTTTTAGTGCAAAAAAGGAAGTGGTATCGCACCCCGTAAAAGCGTGGAAGCCACGGAGTGCCAACGATTTCTCAGGTCCCAAATGATTTGCGATATTATGAGCTGCAATATATCTTTGTGACTTGCTAAACCCATATAGAAACCACAATTCCTCAAGGCCTATGGACTTCAATACATGAAAAAATGATATTCCGATTATTGCAACATCTGTGTCCAAGGATCGTACTAAAACGGACTTAGCTCCATTTTGAACCACGTAGAAACATTCTTCCGTCTGCTTCCTCCATGTCGGCACAAGAAAGTCCATCAAGAGTGGTTTTGACATTATCTAAAAATAAACAGGTATTTGAAGTCTTGTTTACCGTGTATTCTTCATTGACAATAACGTACTACCATTTGAGACAAATATCTGTTTATTATGGTTGACACAAGGCATATTTATTTCATTCGTTAGCTTTTCAAATCAGAACATGATGACATTACAGCAACTAGTAGAGAAATAAATAAATCTATGTACAGGGTGATCTATTATAAATGTAACCCCCTGCTAACTTTTTCATTTGACGTTTTTGACAGAAGTGTCAAATACAAAAGTTTCAAGAAATTGTCAAAAGTTTTTAACAGTCAGTTTTAGGCATACAGGGTGCGTCAAAAAAGTGCAGCAGTGTGAAGTTATATTTTTTTAAATGGAACATCCTGTATATTGTGCGCCTATTTGTTAGTCCCCTTTAACCTGATTTCAACGATATATGGTTTGATATATTTATCCCTCAGTTTATCTCCAATAGTTATAGGTAAAAACGCGAAAATTCCTTCCTAGGTCTCTCATGTTATTTTTTTTTTAATAATAATAATAGCTTAGACATCTGGATTTATTATAATATTTCACCTTGTATATACATGAATAAAATTTGAACAATAAACTGATAATAAAAAAAAAATATATATAATTTTCCTTTTTTCAATATGAAACCTTAAAAGGGGTTTTCATGTTTTTCCCTATAACTGTTGAAGATAGACATATCAAACCCTATATCGTTGAAAACAGGTTAAAGGGGACTAACAAATAGGCGCACAATATACAGGGTGTTCCATTTTTAAAAATATAACTTCACGCTGCTGCACTTTTTTGACGCACCCTGTATGCCTAAAACTGACTTATTTAAAAACTTTTGATAATTTCTTGAAACTTTTGTATTTGACACTTCTGTCAAAAACGTCAAATGAAAAAGTTAGCAGGGGGTTACATTTATAATAGATCACCCTGTACCTGTTCCATGAAAATCGACTGGAGCTGTAGTACTTGATGTTCTGTGGTCAATGTTATCTACAGCGGATACCGTAAACAAATTAGGTAGCAGATTTGATGGACAAATCACGTTTTTTTCTTCTGATCTCCGGACAACTAAGTGACAAAACTGAGCGGATATTTCTAAAACTCTCTTATACGAAGCACCTATGCCCATATCATGTAGCTCTTCAATTTTTAATTTGTTTCTGCCGTGTGCATAGGAAGATAGAGACATGTATAAGGGAAGTGGTGGCTAATTATTTTTATTGTCTGACGATATTACCTTTGGGTACATTTTTTGAAAATTGTAAATTATAAGCTGACATAAGTAAAAGCAGGCTTGGTGGCTAATGAGTCAGAAACAGTAGATGAACCATAAAGCAAAATATTCACTGCTGCCAAAAGAGGACTTGGAATATTTTTTTTTCACAGTTCTTTTCGAAAGTTCCAGTAAATCTATAATTACATTCAGATAAAATTTTACGCAGTGCTTAGCAAAATGATGGAATCCTAGCACATCTTCATCCTGGTTTTCAAAATCTTATGCATTTACCAGATTTGCATCAGTCTGTAATAGAATGTACGCACGGCCACACTTTCTTGCTTCCAAATTGGGAAACGTGCCAAAATTTTTTGCCTAAGTCTATCAGTTTTTTCTCGTTTAAGTTGACATTCTGGAATTTCTTGTAGTTCTGCTAGTCTTGCATGATACATTGTTAGTAAATCGGCCATTCAGAACAAATACTTACTCGATTCGGTAAGTTTTCCCTGTATGAAAATGAACAAATCAGCAAAGGCCATACCTTCACACAAAAATTTATTTTTATCAGCAATATCGGAGCATTCCTGTCGCTTCACTTTATTATACAATGTGTCCAAGATAAGGAGGGCCAGTATGGGGATCTCGAAAACAGTGAAAGATACAACGTTGCTCAAATTAGGAAAAAATTGCGCAATTTTGTGCTCATTAAAATACCGCTCTGATATTTCAAAAATTCCGAGTAAAACCGGAGATATCCGGAAAAACCCAAAATTCGCCTAAAACAATTTTATTTTTTCCTGACCTTATTCGAAGAGATATTTCGAAATAAATGGCACTTCATCATTGGTACTTTTTTTCCTCTACAATATGGTATTATCAAATTTGTAATTCAACGTTTCGTCTTTGGATCACCACATCATCAGATCCCCATACACTCCTCCTTATCTTGGACACATTGTATAACATTGCAAGACATTTTAGTTGGTACTAACTATCTTGAGCTACCAGATCCCCCTGAGCAAGATGCGCGAGTAAGACGAAATCTCCAAGTTTCTCAGCACAATGCTGTACGTTTGTAGAAATATCTTCACTAGCACATTTTCTGAATCGGTTCTTAATAATTCCTCGAGTTCTACAGATGAAACATAAATTGTTTGAGAAATTTAGAGAAATTTGAGGATCGTGTTCGGATTCCTTGAAGAGTGGATTCAGAGTCTTTTCATCTTTCTAGAGAGCTGCTCTCTTTTTGATTCTCCATGACTTTATTAAGTTTACAGAAACCTATGAAATCGATCTCCGGTATACGAATTATAGCATTCTGCATGCCAGAGAGCATTGTGTTTCTGAAGGGCTGCAAATATGCCATCTCCTTCATCTAAAACTTCAACGTTATATCATATCCGGATGGAAGGATCATGCCTAATTCAAAAAGATCTTTATTTGAAGAAAATTTTGTCCGCCATTTTGGAAAAATGATGATATCACGAGCCTGGATTGTCAGAGAGGCTGGTTAATCGGGTCCGATCTTTTAAAATGTGTTTCCTTACAACCATACCAAATTCATGCTTGTAACCCAATTTGGCGTTTTCCTCTAAAATTTCGTACGAGGGAACTCCTCTATAAGCATCTTTCGTTTTGAATTCCGAGGAGAATTGTCCATGACTCTTTGGAACGTGGACGGGGCATTTTTCAACCCAAATGGCATACGTACGAATTCGTAATGGTCATTTACTACGGAAAAAGCGGTTTTCGAAACATCCTTGAGGTCTACTTCTATTTGGTGAAAACCTGAGGCTAGGTCAAGGGTGGTAAAATATTGACATTTTCCCAATTGAACCAGAAGATAGGAAATATTAGACAGCGGGTATTTGTCGTCTACAGTAAGTTCGTTGACTTTACAGTAGTCGATTACGACGCGCCATTTGGGTTTGCCAGAAGCATCAAGTTTCTTATAACATTTATGGTTATACATAATGCTAATAAAACCAATGATAATCTATGGAATTATGCAGCTTCAAAGTGTGCAAAGCCAAGCTAATCTAGTTTCTAATAGATAATTCACTATTATTCTTCTTACATACAGTTTATTAGATCTTCTTCAAAAATGTAAGGAAATTTTGTCACTATATTACCTGCCCAGGAAGGAAAAACGTATTTAAATATTTATTCATCCTTCTAGAAATATATGTTAAAACAGAATAACATCAAATTTGTTTTTTCCAGATGTTAAAAAGACTGTCTTATCCACTATCGTGGATGGAAACCTTGGGTGGCGAAAAAGAAGAGGAGAAACTTCCTAGTCTACCGCAAATAGCGGACGCACAACATTCTTCTATGTTTTCGAAAGTTTTCTCAAGGTAATAAACGATAATAATATTATTATAAATTTTCATCTTGATGGTATGAACAATGAAAGTTGACGTGCATTGACCTGATATCGTCAATTGATAGAAAAATAGTGCACTTCAATTTAAATTGATTCAACGGCATGCATGCTTTCATCCTACTAACCTACCAAGCTTCTCTCTTTCGCTGCCTACCGAAAAAAGCTCCCCAATTCACTTGGTGGATTTCGGTACCGGATTGTTCACCAAAACCCCGTCAGAGGACAGCGGCGGCTCAGGAGGACCGCACTCTGGCGGCAGCGGAGGTCCGCCCCTGACAGGAGAAAGTGTCGTTTCAGGCGCTTCATCTTCGAGCAGCTTTTTTCCCACGAATATCATAAGTTCGATGGGCGCTTCAGTGGGGGCGGTAGGTGCCCAAGTGGGCGCGATGGGCGCCCAAGTTGGGGCGCAAGTAGGCGCGCTGGGTTCTTCTGTGGGATCGACTGTGGGCGCCGTCGGAGCCCAAGTGGGAGCTTTAGGCTCCTCGGTCGGGTCCACTGTTAGCGCCGTTGGGTAGGTGTGCGTGTATTAGATTTTGTGGAACTCAGACTATTTTGATATTTTGTCTACTAGTAGAGTGTTAGTCAATCAATATGAAAACTTCAATGTTTAATAGCAAATGTTTTTAGTAGGCAAAATTTTGAAATTTTCCTTAATATTTTTTTCTCAATTTTAGCTATTTGACTTGTATTTATCACACACAACACGCACACACTCCCGTTTATTTTAATTATTATCTGTATCTTTGAAACAATTATTATTATAAATTCTTCATTGTCTGATTTCCTTCTAGGCGTTCGTCGGTCGGCACGTTTATCAGACAACCGACAGAGGGCGGCTCGAAAAAGAAGGAGCCCAAAGAACCACCGCCAAAGCTGGACTACAGGTCGATGGTGTCTGTTGAGGATAAACCCGATTTGTTTGCTTCGTTTGATAGTAAGTTTTTAGGGATTTAAGTTGGGATATACATATTTGTCTATAAGGGGTGACTCAGAAAAAAAAAACATGCAAATGATGGAAGATGCAATGTTTTAAGATGTCAGAGTCACACTTCAAGGCCATATTGGTACCTTCATCCATTTTACATCGTCTCATTACCAACTGTTCAAATAATTTTACTTTGAGTCACCCTGTATGAAATCTTCAGTTTTCCTTAAGTATTTCTAGTTTTAGAAAATTCTAGAAATGTTCACAATGTAGAATAGACGCCACCAGATAATATGTAAATGATAACAAATAATTATTGTGCATGTGAAATTTTTCTAGGGATATTAAACCCCATTCACATAATATACAATCTAATGTAGAATAACATGCTACTTACTCTCCAAGAATATAATATTAGTCTATGTAACTTTGTTCTAGTACTTTCGACTTTAATAATCCTTGATTATTGTCATATAGCAAAAACTGTCTCATGAAAATTGAACACTAGATCTTCATCAGCTTCTTATTTGAACCAATAATCGTTCAAGCTGATTCATATACTCGAACATCTTTTCAATAAAAATCATTCTAATCCTAGATTAACTTACTAGTGCTTATAATTTTTCTGTTTATTTTTGCCGCAGTTCGATCACCAAAATATGGGTTAAATTCATTTGGTAGGTGCAGCATGTGTTCCCTTTTACAGCATGAAAGTGTTTACTCTTTACAAATTTCTTACTTCTATATGTACCTTCTTTTAAGGTGCATTCACACACTAATTTATACGCGTTTTTTGTTACTGGATTTGAAAAAAAAAAACTTGTCCTTTGTGTATGAACGTAGCCTTAGTTTGTCCAATTGCATTACTATTTTCATTTGACTTGCATTTTTTGTTTGTTTAATTTTCCTGTTTCACTTTATATCATGTTCTCTTTATTTTCAACTCCTGATGTCAACCCCTGTGAACTTCCGCAAAATACATATCAATCTTGTTTTAGAACTGATACCGAGACCGGCTCGCTCTTGCGAAGACCCGCCCCTTTATCTGAGACTAAAAATGGGCAAACCTATGAACAAAAAAATACCCCATTCAACTCCCTTGATGTCCTATGGCAAGAAAAAGATGAGGCCCGAGTATTGGTTCAGCGTGCCGAAAAATCGGGTGGACGAGCTTTACAAGTTTATACAAGGATGGGTGCCGCAGCTTTATGGAGAACTTGATGAAGAAAAGGTAAATTTTTCCACCTACTTTGTATTTTATTAAAATTATTTTATTTTTTTTCAAATTGTTACTCGTTTTGATGCATAAATTGCTGCAATTTTGGTACCTACTGATAAGAAAAAAACTAGTAAAATACACATAAATGCAATAACCCATAAAATAATGTTTTGTAATACAAATTTGTAGATTAAGGAACGCAATTTCATTCTGGTGGATTTGGACACTGAATTGTGGAGCGAAGAACCGACACCGTCTAGTAGCCGGCACGGTAGTCAAGGCGAAGAGCTGGCTGAATTAACCAAAGAAAGTTGGGAGGTAAGTCTTGTTTTCAATTAGTTCAAGGTTCAATTTTTTTGCCTGTATTAGAGCTGATTTTAATGATGTTACATTGTCTTCAGTATAACATCGTTTTTAAAAATACAATTTTTATTATGTTCTTGTAAGGAACCATGGGAGATTAATTATTGTATGTTTGTATTAATAAGCTGATTTTTTTTATATGATAAAAGGAAACTGCTTTAATGCGATTTATTATCGCTAATATTGATCAAGGTTTCTACTATGGTTTCCCAATAAGGTAATTGTTATTGTTTTAAATCAAAGTTGCGAATTTTAGGGTAGATATTTTTTGTTGAAAATAGTGTTTCAAGCTGGTAAATCTGATTTTTTAAGATTGCCCACAGTTTATTGACGTTTGTGGAGTGATTCGAGCTTTTTGAGGTATCCTATTCTGCCTTCATGTTGCAAATTATATGTCGATCGGCAATTTTTTAAATAAGTTTAATAATTATCAGTGTCAATGCTATCTTTGTACCTTTGAGGTAACCTACATTGAGTGTCATTGACAAATCTAATTCTCCCAATCATTTAGAATTCTCAGAAAGTGCTCTTATAAAGGTGGATTTCAGTATGTGTATAATCTGGTATAATCATTTATTTGGAAAAAAAAGTACACCAGTACACTCTCGGTAGGCAAGGAGAAACGACGTGCTGTTTGTTTGTCTCCTCCGCCGTGGCTTATCGGGCTTTTTTTCCATTTTTTGTTGTGGAAAAGAAACACTAACAGTCCACAAAATGAAAATCCACAGAAAAAACCCAACAATGAAGCAGCCCCATCATCAACATCAACAATAACCAACAAACTCAAAAATGCATCGGAAAAAATGCGGACAATTTTCCAACAGAAATACAATTCACTATTTTACTTCGACACTATTGTGGGAAAATGCAATACCTAATAACCGAGATATAATCCTAGAAACCAAAAAAGGATTCTTACTAAAGAGCAACACAACCAAAACTATTCCTCAAGAAACTTTGAAGAAGTGGAAGGATGAAAAACTAATAACTAACTATTCAGAAACTCAGCCATACAAGAGAGAGAGTAGCGAAAAGCAGCATCCAGTGTCTTCCTACTCCTGCGTTATCTCTGGAGTTGAACAGAGCATTACATCCGAAAATCTATCCGAGCATCTTCAAACAACCCTTCCCCATAGATACTGTAAGCGAATCGTCTCTAGATCAACAAACTTACCAACTATGCTAATAAGAATAATAACTCCGGATGTGTCAACATATGAAAAACTATTAAATGAGGGCGTTTATTACAAATGCAGGCATTACGCAGTTTACCCAAGTGCACCTCCACAACCAGCCCCCATTCCTTGTAATCGATGCCTACATTTCACACACAAAACTGAAGAATGCACAGAGCCTGTTGTTTGTACAAGATGTGGAGGACAACACAAAAGTACAAGATGCCAGTCCAATCTGCCTCCAAAATGTGTTGCATGTGGCTCAGAAGAACACCAAGCATGGTCATTTAAATGTCCAAAACGTCCAACAAAACCGATTGTTGGAATACCAAATATACAAATTAAATCTCTCGATAAAAAATCTAAAGACATTGCCGACACAGGGAAAAAATCCAGCAAAATACACTTGCCAGTCACCATTCATGACCATATAGTTAACACCTACGTACACAAATTGAATAAACCAAAATACGGTAACAGAAATGAACTTCTTGAGAAGCTGCGAAAGATTTATCGCTGAGTTCAATGTCGAAACCTCAGTGTCGTTCTTCAGTGGCAACAGAATGTATATCCTTATGTTCGACCACGAAGAAAATGGACCCTCCGCCACCGAACCCATCCACGGAGCTCAAAGAGAAATCAATGGCTAACATAAATATATTATTTAACAACGTAAATAGTTATTCGCCAAAGAGGTACTTGATAAATCATGTAATGGAACAGAACAACATCCATTGTGGCTTATTTCTGGAGACTAAAACAAAAGAAAATTCTAACATCACATATCAAAACTGGGATACAATACATACGGCAGGAAACATCGCAAACCAAAATGTGAGAAGAGGTTGCCTAGCACAAATAAATCCTTCTATTAAAGCAAAAAAGGCAAACCCACCAATTATCAACAATCCGCTCAATAACTGTATACATTTTTCAATACCATTCCAAGACAACAGACTCCACATTTTCCCAGTTTATATCCACCCAAATAGTTTAATAGAAGAATCCATTTTCGTCATGGCCAACATACATAAATATGCTATAATTGTGGGGGACTTCAATCCCAAAAGTAAACATGGAAAACAAAAACAGTTAGATAATTTCTTGGAGAACACCGATTTTGTGCAATATAACACCCCTCCAACTTTTCTAATGCCTAACAATAATGATTCAACTCCTGACCTATTGTTATATACAGAAAATGTCAAGAGATAATATAAAAAGGGTGGAGATAATATCGGACATCGGGTCAGATCATCAATCAATGGTTATTTCCCTAGACTTGAAGGCTCCTATAGTAGCAAAAAAAAGCATCAAATACAACTTCAACAAAACAAATATAGACGAAGTTAATACTACCCTTAACCATCACTTGCGAGCCATAAGATCAGAACCTATCGCTGAACAATCAATAGATAACTTTATGGACACGCTACAAACTGCAATACTGGATAATACGCCAAAGTATCACCGTAAATTCTACGGGCATGTTCTTCCTCCATTCATGAATTCTGCTTGAGCAATAATCATTTTCCAACAGTGTGGAAAAAAGGCAAAATAACAGTAATTCCTAAAGGTAATCCAAACAGAACAAAACTAAGTAATTACCGACCAATAACCTTGCTACCAGCGATTGGGAAGCTTTTTGAAACGGTTGTACGGAAGGTTCTGGACTCCTATGTGAGCGAAAGCATTCCAAAACATCAATTTGGTTTCCAAACAAAAAGATCCACCCTCCATCCTCTGACAATTTTGATGTCCAATATACAAACAATGAAACATGAGAACAAGAAATCGGCAGCAGTTTTCCTAGATATCCAAAAAGCCTTTGACAGTGCCTGGTTCAAAGGTCTTTTATACAAATTGTTTATTCTCAAAGTACCCAAACATCTGATCTGTCTAATTAAGAACTTCCTAGAAAACCAAGAGCTATTCATCCAGATAAACTCAATATGCTCAGAAATATTCTATCCATCACAAGGCTTACCTCAAGGCTCACCACTATCTCCACTATTATACAATGTATTCTGCTACGACATATTCAATTCAAATGCACTGGGGGTCGAAGACGCATATGTTCTGCAGTTTGCAGACGACACTGGTGGAGTAGCACATTCTACAACTCTTTCTGGTGTGATGGAAAAATTACAATCACTTGTAAATCTGATAATGAGATGGTTGCAAACATGGAGAATTCTACTTAATCCAGAAAAAACACAATTTATCATATTCAACCACAAATTAAATGAAAATAGCCCAAAAATAACCATCTCAACTCATCAAATTCAAGCACAGCCATCTGTAAAATATTTGGATTTCTCATTGGATGCCAAATTGTCACTAAACCAACAAACCAAAAATGTTCAGATTAGAGTAGTCACTAGAGCCAAACATTTTCGTTCACTCACATACAAAAACAAGGGAATCACTATCCAAACTGCAGCTCATATTTATACCTGTATTTGTAGACCATTAATTGAATACGGCCACTTACTTTACCAAATCATTAGAAGACCAGCTCTACAGAATTTGGAAATGGCTGAAAGAAAAGCTCTCCGAGCAATCACAAAGTTGCGGCACCCAAGAAATCCACTACACCACCCCTCCAATGAAGAGTTATACAATAGAACAGGGATCACACCAATTGTTGAGAGATTGCAGCACCTGTCGAATCATTTTTCTGAAAAACCATACAACTTGGAATTTTTAAGACCATTAATAAAAATTCGAACTCCTGGAAAAGTTTCACGCTATAAATATCCAGAAAATACTCTATGGGAAATGATAACAAGAACTCAATAACAGTGTACCTATTTATTTACATATTTATTTAGCTAACTATAATATATATTTTTTTTTTCTTTTTTTTATATCCACACTATTTATCCAAATCTCCTTTTCTTCTAAACAGTAATTCTTTTGAATGTGAACCAAACAAGTGCAAATTTACTTTTTAGGCTGAAGGACTTCGGTCGATGGCCTTTTGGGTGTGTGTATGTATATTTATATATATTTGCCTAATAAAATTACATTTACTACTGGAAAAAAAGCTAGACCTTGGGACACAACATTTACTTGACAAAAGATCTTGAATTTCTCAGTTCTGACTACTTTCCTAAAAATCTACATTTCTTGAAAACTACACATAATAACACCTTCAAAGTTGCAAGGTGAAAAGAGATTTAACTAAGCTAGATTGTAGGGTCTAAAACATTCACTTTAACAAGGTTTTATCTAAGGCTTTATCAGTTCTGCTAGAGTTTAGAATATGAAACATTTTCCTAAATTTCTCAGTTCTGACTACTTTCCTAAAAATCTACATTTCTTGAAAACTACACATAATAACATCTTCAAAGTTAGTAAGAAGGTACCTAATGTCTGCCCAGCGATTCTGTGTCTACGGGGCAACGGTAATAGTTGGGGAGCTGGCGTCAAAAACATGCAAGAGTTTTCGCAAGGCTGATATTTTCAAAATAGGTCGTACTTTAGTGCTAGAATGCTAGTGTACAGTCAGCACTCACAGTTCCGGGACAGCTGGCTCTGGGACGCGGGCAAAGTTGTAATTTTAAGAAGCATCTAAACTGTTTTCTCAAAGCTCAAAATTTATAGAAATTTTGCACATTATCTGTTTGAAGGTCACAGATAACGTATGTAAATCGTCAGACGTCTAGTTCGTTGCAAAAAGGGGGTCAGACGTCCTCAAAGTTTTTATTTTATGGCATTTTCTTCGGTGTCCTGTCAAAATATATTTTTGCAGGTATTTGACAAATATATTTGAAG